TTTCTTCAGCCAACGTTTCTTGATCATTTCGTTCACAGGATTTCTTGTCGCTAATTCCTTCTGGATATTTGATCTTCAATATAGATTGAAGGCAAATGGCGATAAAAGTCTACAATCTAGAGATGCTTTTCATGACGAGCAGTGAAAGTTTCTGACTCATTCAGAAGAACTAACTTAACACTAGCGTTGAAAATCCAAATGTTGTTTTTTATGCAAGGGGCATTAAATTTCGAAACTTATTTCCGAATGACGAAGGTCTGTTTTACCTTCTTTTTTTGCCTTACTGGAGAGAAGTAACTCAAGCTGAGACTTATACTTAGAAGAAAATAAATCATGGTTAAAGTTCATTCACTGAGTCATTTATTTTTACTTAGTTTAGAGAATAATAAGCGAGTTATCAGGAATCGGAGACTATTTACTTCTGACTAAGAAGGGGTAAATGGCAATATGATAACTTTATAACCTGCTGTTTTTAAGCCTGACTTCTCATGGAGTTTCTTGTGAACCTTTCTGGTCAGTTTTCTACTAGGATGAGATAGTTATTGTTGTAGTAATTGATATAGGCATGCCTAGCCATTACCTTCCTCGACGGGCAATGTTAGCTGACATAGGATCAGGTTGGGAAAGAGCTAGTGGTGTTCATACCAAAACATGACTTCATCAGTCAATGAAATCCACAACAGTTAGTTTAAGCCAGCCACAGAAGGAGGTGCAAACTTTCTGGTTGTGGTCCTCGTGATGATAAAAACCAATGGCTGTAGACAGTTGGTGATATGGCTCAAAATCATTCTCAATAACTGGCTCAGATGCATTTACTCTTTGTGATTTATCATATCCATTAAAACTCTATTTTTCTTCCATATTACAAATTCTTTTTTGCTTCATACTTCTGTTTATTATCCTTTTGTTTTAAGTCTCTATTTACTGTCTTCTCTTGCTTTGTGTGATGCATGGAGTGTAGCATCTCGAACTACCGCACATCTGTGCAAAGTTCTACGTTGAAACCAGTCAGTCAGTCATTCAGAACAGTCAGAGATGTTCAACAGAGAGCCAACGACTGAAATTGTTTTCGAATTCAGTTTTACTAGGGATAATTCTATACAAGTCATACTAAACTCAGACCCTTGACGTAACTTACGTCTAGGACTTATTTAAAACCATGACATGGCATGAGACACTAGCGGTTACCTGTTTTACTTAACCGGGTGTTACAATTACAATAGGTTATCCAACAGAGTTGATCGTATTGAGAAGATAACTTTGTTACGTACATTTTTAGACTAATTCATTTCATCAGTCTTAGCTGATAAATAATACTGAAAAATTTACTGCCTCCCTTTTTTAAAATTTTATTGTTTTATGTTCACAGTGGAACATAAGACTTCAAGCTAGAGGCTTGAAGTTTAGGTAAAAGTGGTGTTTATTTTTATGGGATAGGGTTGCCAGCCTCATACCTACCCAACCTTCCTTCTTTACCAGTCTTATTACTGGATTAGCGAGGTAAAGGAGCGCTTCGCCCGGAGATCGAACACCGAACCACCGTTGTGCCGCCGACGCATGTTGCCCCCTCTTAATATAACGAAAAGGTAAAATTCAAGGAATATGCTTGCCATCGGTATTTAAAGACAGACACTTATCCAAAAGAAGCCTTTAAAACATTTTCGTTCTTGCATTATTAAGGCTGGTGAAACATTGAGTAAGTCTATATCTAAGTAAAAGGCATTGGTCAGCTTTAAAGAATGCCAACAACTATGAAATGATTATTGCCTATTTAAAATGAACTATCACAGTTGACGAAGTTCATATTCACATGAATAAGTCCAGAAATAACTCATTTCTTTCGATTACGTTTAAGTCTTTATCTCTTTAAATCGATGATGAAGTCTACGACTTTGGTGATGACATTAAGATCAATGGATCAGACTGTCACAAATATGCCTCCAAATGAACTGACAGATTTCACCCATTACTTAAGACTAGATACTAACACTGATTATCATTCAGAAGTTGACTCGTATTCTGTAATTTTAAGAGTTTCTGTTGAGGTAGAACTATACAGTGTCTTAAGAGGAAATTGTACAATCAGTTCGCAAATAATAATAATAATAATTTAATTCCGATCATATTGAGAAAAGAACCATTGTAAAACTGTAATGATAAACTTGAACAGGCAATTTACCAAGAAACTGGTTGTTTGATATAGCATCACTACTTGGAAAAAGTCTTTTAGCACTCATCTAAAGGAGCTATCATGAACCTCTGTAGAACGACAAAGATCCTTGCAGTATTTGTCAACTTTTGGTTCAATTTAATTTAGGATAATCAAGCATTGGTTTGTAGGAATTTGACTGATTGATTATAGGATTTCATCGTGAAATGACATCGGTTAAAGAACCACTGGAAAACCACCAGAGAGTACTACATATCTGTGTCATCCGAGTTTGGAACTCCTCATCAGCACGCACTCACCTCCAGATTTCGCATAGAGGATGCTCTGAGTACACGGCGACCTACTTGATGCTTACTGGGGACTGGCTCTATTGGGGAAGGTAATTACTTGGGTTATAGCAGGATGTCGTGACCAGTAGGGTACAGCAGGTCGGATGTGAAGACAAATACTTGCCGAAGACATTAGCTGGTGGTCTCGCTATATCGTCAGTTGGTAGAAGCTAGAATACATGCACTGGCCATTAGATCGGCCGGTCTCAGTGGCTTAATATTCTACGAGCTCTCTGGCCTTGTAACCAGGATGTCCTGGGTTTGAACCCTGGTGTTGGGTGAGTGCTGACGAAGGGTCTGAAACTAGGACGAAACAGACGTCCCAGGTGGTTTTCTAATGATTCTCTGACTGATGTCAGCTCATGATGAAATCCTGTAATTTAAGATAGTTTAAATAAATAACTACTAAAATACTGACAACGTAAATTATATTATGACGCATAGATTTGAAATTTCTGATATAGATGTAATTACGTTTAAAATGTTTTTGAAGGACTTTGGAATCTTTGAAAGTGTTCATTATTCATGCATTTTAAACACATAATAAATAACCTGTAAAATAATCCAACAGAAAACCTTAGACAAGTCACCTGATAAATGAGCTGTATTGTAAAGATGTTTCATTCGATTTCATTTGAACATCTAAGTCACTGATTTCAGGAGAAGAAGAAGGCGAAAGTTACATTCCCTACCAACTTACTGAAATTCGGTTCACTGAAAATGACTTTCATGGCGGGATTTATGTGCAAGACACTAATCCGCTTAGCATATCAAAATAATTAACACATAGTATTTTGTGTTCGTACACGCCAGATTCTTAAATAAAGCCCAAACGGGAAGTAGAGAAAGGGTTGTGCATCTAAAGGTGAAACTGAGAAGATCATATGGGACTGGAAATGAATGCTTGCGGGTAGTTATAGGATCCTTTTAGGAGATGACGGAGGACAGACTGCCATAAAGCTGTACCTCTGAAGCCCTATGAATAGTAGTAATCATTCACTCAACAGTTTATATTCATTACCAATCTCTTTTATTGACACAGGCCTTATACGAGGTCAACTTATAATGTAGACCATATTTAAAGTTATTCACAATTGCTCTGAAACACTCCGAAACAAAATGGAAACAATGTTAATAAAAATTTCTGTATTGAACTAAATTTAAGCAACAAAAAACAGAACAAAAGGCATGATATTCTGTTGTTGTTGTAGGCTTTTGTAAAAACACTAGAGTTCATTCATTATTCCAAAATAACCTCTGTTAGTTTACTGCCTTTTCCATTAAATTTATAAAGAGACTTAATAAGACTGTTGTTAACTAACCTTCTTGGTCGTTATAGTAACAGTTTTCATCTCCTGTTTTACATTTACTATCTTACAATTTAATTGGTTCATTTAGACCTTTTTTTTCCTTAAATTTTATGATATTAAGAATAGAGTGGTTGGTTGAAATTACCCGCCTTTATTTATGTTCAGTAAATTTTTAGACGTGTAGGTATATTGTTTTAATAATAAGTAAATTTCCTCATTAGAAAGCAACAATTCAAACATTTATCCTAGAGGTGTTAATTTGAATCAGAAAGGGGAAAGACAGGGACGCCCACACACACACACACTTTAAATGCGATCAATTTTAAATCATTTGTGCTGATAAATGCCATATCACATACTACATAAGATTATTAGATAACATTATTACTCGATATGAATAGTGTTCACAGTCACAATAAAAATAATCGGTAGATAATTGCCTGCAAAATAGTTTTACCAACATCCCGATAATGTTGATTATATCAATGGGATTGTTATCAGACATATATATATGAATAACCTTGAAATTTAGGTGTATTCCAAGAAGCATATATGTATATATATTTGTCAAATGAAAAGTAATCATCCTATAGACATTTCACTGGTTAACCAAACCCATATAATAAGGGAGAGGAGTGATTTGAATGCACTACACGTGAATATTCCACATACACCTGATTTTCATGCTACTGTTGATGTCGATTATCCCGAAAGCAGAGGTGTGTTCGATTTAGAGTGCTTAAAAACTGAAAACACCATCACAGCTTCTGATAAAAGCAATGTTATACATCAAATAATGGAAGATAGTAACAATGGAATGCCTTGCTTATTACGTAGTCATTCATTCAATCCGTATGACTATCCAGTGGAACATTATTACTATGACAGGACAACTGATGATCATAACCGTATAAATAATGATCAAGGCACTGATAACCTTGAATGTACAACATCTCATCCAACAGGATCGTTGAAACCACCTCATTTACCACCACGTAGAAATCAACGATCGATTGATTTACTTATTTACACTGTTCCAAGATCACCTTCAGATACTTGTTTGATTAGCAGAAAAGTAAGTCATACTTGTTCGTGATTATCTCTTTTTAAAATGATTACTACTCGTCTTTTTATAGTTTTGTTTTCTAAACTATTTATAAATGAAGTTATTTTGAATTTAATACTGTTTAGTCACTCGATTCTTACGATTCGGAGATAAGTCGATCGAAAAAGTATACACAAGACTTCAACGATGATATAAATGATGTAAGTGCTCAACCTGGCGAAATCTTATCTGGAAACAATAATTCTGAAGCAGTACAAGAAGAATTGAGTGGTTTAAGTTTAAACATGTCCAGTAACTTATCAATTGGAAATCATCGAAAGGATACTCACAATAATCCCACTGTGAAAAATAATAGTAATAGTAATAATCAAGAGAATAGTGGAGTCAGTGAATTTTCAGATGTACATAACACTAATGAAAATATTTCATTGAATCCTCAAATACTTCATCAAAATTCAACCAGAGATTTCAATCAGTTCAATGACATATCTCAAATGATGGAACGAAGTGATCCAATTTCCAGTAATCGTGATAGAATTGAAGATAGAATGAATTCTATTAACCATGGAAGTGGAAAAGGTTTACTACGGCGGTATAACACTGTACAGATGTCGAATACAACAGCTAGGGACTTAAGAAGTGTAAGTCTTGTTATGAAATAATTCATACATGCAGCATTTGGGAATATTTTCGTGCATACTGATCTCCAGTTTCAGCTTACCGTCTTATAGCTCGTTAAATATCTTTAAAGTTGAGATTTTTGTTTAAGTACACTGAATTCATGAAGTTGATCCTTACTGATAAACACAAACAATCACAAAACCCAGGTGTAAGGTTCCCCTTCGACTAATACGTAGGGTACGAGTTGAGATGTTATTGAAGATTTGTAGAGATTCTTGAAAATTGCTCCTCATTGTCCTACTTCTTTTCAAAACTTATCGCTTAGGGGAGACTCTCTTACTGCAGAAATGAGTGACGCTAGTGTGAACCAATGAGAGGTCGTCAGATCCTTCGTATTTTTAGATGAGTCACATTATCTAGCTCAGTAACTCCACCTCATATCTCATCAGTGAATTTCCATCGACACTTGAGATTAAACAGCTAAGTTATTTATTGTGGTAGTATTTAATTCCATATTAATTTGTTTGTTGAATATATCATGCAGTAAAACAGTCTTTTTTTACTGGATGATACATCCAATAAACGAATTAATAAGTTAATCATCCTCAGGTGATCAGTTCACATACGTGATCCAGATATCAGTTGTTACGTGAGCAGCTTTGTGATAGTATTCCTGACTTAAACACAAAATGACACATGTTCGAATCTTCTACGGAGCGTGAGTTCCCTAAATACTGCAGATGTTCTTCATTGGTGATTGCTAACAGATACATAATCCGTTAGAAGTACACAGGTGAATTCTTCTCACTGAGTTAAAATAATTGATCTAAAAGGTCTAAGTGAACTGATTAAATGAATTATTTTTAACTATTCACGGTGCTGACTATAGAATACTAAATGACCATTTGAAAACAAACTGTGCAGATCTATTATATTGCCAACAGCAATTGTTATTAAGGATTCATTAAAAAGACGGTTGCAACGAAGAAAATTTCCTTTTTTTGACGAAGTTATCAACCAGGCTGTACATTCGTGTATTTATATTACATGTGTGTGAAAGTTCCTTGTGTCTACTTGTAAAACGCGCACGGGAACACTATCCAGCATGGTTAACAAGGGGAGAATGCAAAGAAGTATGCAGTTCGATAACAGAACACCTGGTGAATTCTGGACATTCAGCCCCATTTGAAAAGTCCTTCATGGCCATAAACAAGATCCGATCCAACCTACCAAAGAGAGTGAAATCAAGACATCTAGGAATAGTTGAGGCACGGGCGATCCAAAAACTCAATCCTTTTATACGTGTCCAAAAGAAATACGTTCAACCATTGTTCTTACTATGGCCGTCATGAAAGTCAGTCTCACCAATAATGACTGTCCCCTTACCTTTCTTGTTCAACCTTCCCAATCTATTTCTGTTATATTTACCTTTTTTAAATCCCTATGTGCATCACTGATTTGATTACTGCTTTTAGTTTTATATGTCCTAATCTCCTACCCATTTCGTTAATACTACATCCTTAATCCGTAATTATACAAACTGACTAGTCTTCCAGTAATTACAATCCTATTTTGTCTTTTCTACCCGATGTTCCTGATTATTACACATTGTAATTTTTAATTTGACCTTTGGCCTGAAATATTTTTAGAATAGTGCCACTACCTATCTTCTGTTTATTATACTTAGTAATTTTATTAATCTGACCTCTGACCGGAAATAATTCTGGAAATTTCTTACACATATAATATAAATACACGAATGTACAGCCTAGTTGATAACTTCATCGAAAAGAAAATTTTCTTTGCTGTAACCGTCTTTTAAATAATTTCTATGATCCAATGTGTATATTGTGGATTCCAATGATAGTAATATAATAACGATGTGTCATTCTCTGAATTGGAATCCTGAAGAACGGTTACTCTGTCCGTGATAGATTACTATTATGTAACATAAAACGAACTCATTACCGTAAGTCTAGAATTATAGAATCGTGTCCTACCCACCTAATTAAATAATGAAGTCAGCTTATTGATTTATGCTTCCTACTCAATGTCAATGAGTTTTACTGTTTTTCAAGTATTGGTTTTATAGGGGTTTTGTTTGACTGGGTGGAGGATTTCCCGGGCTGGAACCCCGGTGGGCGCGTACCGAGGAAGAGTTCCAAACTAGGACGAAACAGCTATCCAGTACTCTCAGTTGGTTTTCCAGTGGTTCTCTAACTGATGTCAGCTCATGATGAAATTCTCCATCGAATTCTACTGTTATCGTCAAGTGTAGAAATGTATGCTATTAAAATGTTCAATTTTTTGAAAATACTGTTTTTTAAGGGTCATACTTGCTAGAAAGTATGTTCTGGGCGTATCCGTTGATTTCAGTGTAGATTATAGTTAGAAAAAGTGCAATAATGGCTTTTTGTATAATAAACCATACGCGTGAACTTATAAATTTCCATTAGGTCACGCTTACTGAATAACAGTTAAAGATTAGAATTTTATTGATTTTCTGTAAGTCATAAGCACCTGAACTAATGTCAGTTAGTTTAATCGTCTTAATGTGTAGTTCCTTACTGAAAATGTGAAAATGCATAAAAATATAAATACAACAGAAAACAGTGAAAAAAATGAGTCACATACACTGGTCATTTGTCAAACAATAATCGAGTTTCAGTCATTGAGTTAAGTGATTTATAGTGCACTTTAAATATTAGATGCTTGAAGATAAAAAGAGGATTTTTGTCCTCACGCCCAACCTGCTGTGCCCTACTGGTCAAGACTTCCAACTAGAAACCCAGGTAACTACCTACCTGAATAAGACCAGTAGCTAGTGGGTGTATCATTGATATTCAAGTATTGTATGGTAGGGATTTGATTAATTGGTTACAGGATTTCATCACGAGCTAACATCAGTTAGTCGTGACCAGTCGTGTACAGCAGGTCGGGCGTATGGACAAATAATCACCAGCTATGACATTGGCTAGTGATAACGCTATGTTGTGAATTGGAAGAAGCTGGAATTCATGCGCTGGTCATTGGATCGGCGGGTACTAGTAGCTGAATGATCTCGAGCTCGCTGGCTTTGTACCCAGGAGGCCCTGGGCTCGAACTCTGGTGGTGAATGCGTGCTACTGAAGGGTCCTGAACTAGGACTCAGGAAGCAGCTGTCCAGTACTCCCTGGTTGTTTTCTAATGGTTCTCTAACTGATGTCAGTTCATAATGAAATCCTACAAACCAATACTTGAATATCAATAAGACGCTCACGATCGACTGGCCCTGGGGTTTTAGTGGGAGTTCGTGACCAGTAGGGTACAGCAATACGAGAGTTAATTGCCAGTAACCGATACAATAAAGGTTATAACCCTGATGGAGGGCGTATATCCTTAATACTTGCTTTACACCTGAGACATTCAATTTACCTTTCGTTAAACATCACAGACTCACAGTAACATCGCTGACTGAAGGAATAGGTGAATGGGGTATAGAATTCCACCAAGGAAGGACTTCCGTTAAGACTGTTTACAGGTATGAAAAACAATCCTAGATTTCTGTGGCTACTGAAAACAAATAAATGTTAACAATAAAGCTTCAGAATTATTAGATTTTAGTTACGCATCCATACTTAGAGAAAATCTGACAAAAACGTTGGATATCAGATTATCTCTGTCCATTCTGATTCAAAAAATCCACCATAACAAAGCTCATATATGATTTAATATCAGTAAAAGGTTTGAGCATTGTGGATTAGGTCAAATAAAGTATAATTATATTTTAATAGTTTACACACAATGATAAGTTTTGTTATTGGTAATATTTCGAGCAAAATTACTGCCCGTGTTCACACCACTGTTGGAATTGTTTTATTCATATATGATATGAAATAATTTTGTCAGGTAACCTGTAAAATAAGTTCTATATTACTTCAGTTGATCATAAAAAGTGAGAATTGTCAGGTGTTTATTTCTTTGTGCTAACTGAATCCTATCAGTCAAGTTTGCAATTTGGGCACGAAGGCAGGCCACTCGCCATCCCATTGCACTCTTAGCTGATGTAAGGTGGTTAGAGACAATCATAAAGGAGTCCTGGTCCTTGGTTTTGTGTTTATTGGCGTTCATCAGCATGATGTATCTGCAACTTCTAAGGAACTGATTCATTCCGAGGAGCTTCAAATCCTCAGTCATATATGTCACCATTGAGATATTCAAGTTCACATCATCACACAACTAATTAATCCAAACACATGTAAGTCGATGTCCCGGAGAACGATAGGAATCACCATTTCATGTCACGTGACAAAATCAGTTTGAATTCTTGATGACAGGATGAAACATCATCGTCGTCTGCATCATTTATATGCATAACTGTTATTTCCAAGAATGTATATATGAAACTGCTTAAATGCCTCGTAAAGTCAAACACATGACGATATTTTAAACATTCTTAATGACTAGGGAGCATTCTTAGAAGACTAGTATAAGCTTTAGAAATTGGGAAAAAAAGATGAATAACACCCGCTTATTAGTAAACTTTGGTTATAAGGAACAAGAATATAGATTTTTAGTGTGTGGGAAAGCTAGTATTTTAAAGACTGACCTCATCTTCAGTTGACGCCATCTGGATAAAAATCAAAAACTAAAAAACATTATGCATAAGTTTTTCTAATGTGAGCTACCCCATCCCATTAACTACCCATTCGATCATAAGGTCGTGAGTTAATACCACTGAAAAGTCTCAAACTGGGATGAAGTAGCTGTCAAGTGCTCCATAACTGTTAATGGTTCTCTAACCGATATTGATTTTCAGCTAAGTAGATTAAAATGTTTCGAAACAGTAATCAACAGTCAGTTTAGAAGACTTATGTCCATATATTAATCACCGCCATATCTGAAGATATTAAATTCACGAGAGAAGAAGAACCAGACAACAAAATTCCATTCTTAGATGTCTTAATCAAGGGATCTAACACAAGAAGTTCCGAAACACAAGTATACAGGAAATCAACATGTCATCAACACATGTTGAATACTCAACTGTATTAGCAACAACCCAATGATTCACTAAAGAAACTGTATGAAGATACTATTTAAAAGAGTTCAAACACATTGTATTACTCCAGTGATATAGAGAATAGAACAGAAGTACTCATTGGCTTCAAGAAGAATGAATACCTATACGATTTCATCAAAAAATGTTTGAACTCAAATCGATGTACCAATAAGAAACCATCCTAAAAGGTCACAAGAAAATTCGTATATAAGGAAAATCTTTGAAATAACGACTAGTATATTAAGACCGTTTGAAATAGACATAAAGTACAAGCCAATATAATCAGTTCACTCAATATTGTACAGACTGAAGGACCCAACAACAAAAAGAGGACAAGATCAATACCATTTATCAGATACTATAAGTTGCGATAAGCACTAAATTGGTCAAAGTGGGAGTCCGCTTCGAATCAGAATCCCAGAACATGAATTAGCTGTGAGAATGCACGATATGTATTCTTTTATATCGATGTACGTAGATAATCATGGACATTGGATTATGTAGAAATTTTAAATATATGTATAACACCGAAAATTGTGGGGAATTTCTAGAAGTGTGGTACTCACTCAGATGAACCAGCGATTAACAAACACAATATTATTATTATTGTTCCCTTGGGTTCCTAGTGGAACATAGGACTTCAGTTGCACGTGTCCACTTACTTATGTCTTCTGCTGTACTTTCCACCTGCATCCATGTTAGTCCATACTAACTGTTTCAACTCCTCTTCACACGATCTCCTCCATGTCACCCTTGCACTGACGTCACACTCGCCGCTTCCCTTTCAGCCTGGTTCCACTCGAGCAATGGCCTGACGCGCGCACGATGTCACCCAGCGGTCCAATCCATCTCCACTTTCTCCTGCATATTTGTTGGTTGGCGATTGGTTCTTGTTTTGTTTCTTCCCAGCCATAGTTCCTTGTTGGTGATTCTTTCCGGCCCGGCCATCTGATCTTCAGTATTAAAGCGAAGAAACAAACACAATACTACGGATCAAATTTACCAACCAATAAAAAATAAATCACATGACAGGAAAGTTCAAATACTAGGTCAATAAAGACGATTGGTGTAAACAGACAACCAGTCACAGCAATGGTTGTTAGGAGGTACAAACGATTATAGGATTCATGGAGAATTCAAACAATCTCACTTCATATGGAAGCCGGCACTGAAGATAATGTCTAGAAGGACCATGAAAGCCTCGTGATTAAATCTATCAGCTCAGGGAACACATATAGATCGAAAAGTTACTTTTCCTTTCTTTCTAAGCAGACTAGAAAATGGACCTTTGGAAAACATAATCAGAAAATTCTCATTTTATTGCCGGTATGTGGATGAAACCTTTATTCTTCGTGATAATAATTCGGATAGGAGTACAATAATAACTAAATTCAATGAAGTACATTATGCTATGAAATTCACGTACGAAAAGGAATACCAAAACAGAATTGCCTTCCCGGATGTCTTCTTTACAGGAAAACCAGATGTTAGCGTAAAGAGAAATTTGCATAGGAAAAGGATATGGACAAGACAGTATACACATTTTCACAGCTCTGTTCCTCTTGAGTACAAAAAAAATTTAGTAAAGACCCTCAGCCACAGGGTAAGGGCTATATGCTCAGACGAGGTAATTGGAGATAAACTAAGGATTGAATATTATACCTTGATTGAAAATCACTATCCCAACAAATTTATCAAGAAACGCATGACAAAGGAAGCGGAAAAGGACTACTCACTATCCGTGGACAAGAAGCCTTAATACATACGACTGCAGTTCAAGGGCGATATATCTAGCGAAATAATTACAAAGAAGTTAAGAAAATCAGTTCAAAGAACTTTAAATGCTGACAAACTAAAACTCTTATTTTCTACACCTCCGATGGTGATTCTTCAATTGATAGATGAAGTACCTGGGCTAGCCACTTCCAATTGTATTTACCAATTCAGCTGCGCTTGTGATACAACGAGTTATATTGGCTATTGCTCTAGGGACTTGATTTTTCTTACTCCCTCGGCAACATCCACCAGTCTGCTTAAATAAAGATGTAGTGAAAACCGTCACCAACAGTTCGATATTAGACCACCTGGTCTAAACCGGCCACAATGCTAGCCTTGAGGAATCCTCCTCTATCATCATCTACTGGTACCAAATAAATTGCTAAAACATCCAGGTATCTCATACTCCAAACAACAGAGGCTATCACGATTTCCCTGAAACAACCACTGCTCTGTGTGCAGAAAAAACAGGTCCAGCCAGCCACTACTGCTTCCTGGCATTCAGTGGAGACTATAAATTCATGAATTTGTATTATTACCTTTCCTAATCTTTCTGACATTCACTTTATTGTTATATTTATGCTATCGAACTGTAATCCCTTGGTATTGTTAATTCGATGCTATTTAAACAAAATTAATGTTGTTAATGACACTATATATATATAACTGTAGAACCTGATGATGAAGTTATCGTAAAGAATATTCTTTGTTCAGTAACCATTCCTTTCAAGAAGCCTAAAACCTCTGCTGTATTTGCTGTGACTATCTCTCAATGTAATCAGAGCAAACATTTAACCAGTTTGTAACCAGCTTAACAAGTTGATTTTATCAGAAGCTTAACTGTGTGTAAATAAGTGTGTAGACCTACTATGCTTTTTCAGGGAGGATAAGAGCATAGAATTCAGCCATCCTAAATCTAGATAAATCCTGTAGTCAAAAAATGTAGCAAGAGTCTATTGAAATGACTCCCCAACTCGCAGTTTTAAATAAGTACTTCTGTTAAGATGTAAGTTCAGCCTAGCAGTTATCTTCGAACTGCTTTAGTGTGCATACATGAATGTCGATGATAATATTTTTATTATGGCAGTAGGTTATATGTGCGGGCTGAATGATCGAAAGTAGGGTGTACCACAGAATAAGTCATAATTTTTCATATCTTTCACATTAACATTTTTGTACCGGAAAACTTCTCTATTTATGAGAGGAATGAGTAAAGTCTTTCGTTCCTGATTTGGTCAATGAGTGAGTTTTGTAGACCAGTCAGCAGAACTTTCATCGCTTAAGCTCAACCACGATTAAAGTTTCCGTATCGAATTCAATAAACAATGATTAGCTGATTGTGTAATTAGTTTGGTCTATTCCTCAAATGATTCGGCATCTAATTTTCTTTTTTATACGTATTTCAGCACCATAACCTTTCAAAAAGTGTAGTTAATTCAGGTAGTCCTCAGCCCTATGATAGCAGTCAAGTAACATCGCCTGATGATACCCAACTGAGTATGTCGTTGCCACCACAGCCATCAAATATTTCCAAATATGCAGACACTGACAATCTCCAGTCATTTTCAACTCTTCATACAAGTCTTCCAGTAACAAATGACAAATCATTTCAGGTTTTGCAAGCATTAAATAATGTTATAGATAACAATAGAGTTTATACAGATGGACATATGCGATTCCGCTCAATGCATGGAGGTGCAGAGGATCCTAAATTCCCCTACACTAGAATGAATTCAAAGACATCCGTTGATGATGTATCTCCTGACTGCGTCCAACCTGTAGATATTCAAAAGATTCACAATGAAATTATCGCTAAAGACAGCAAGAGAAAAACAGTGATAAATCCTGGTGGGAGCCCATCAGCACCTACCAGCTCCTTCAGTCAACGTGGAAAGATAAGTGGTGCAACACTTTCATTTCATCATATTTCTTACGAAGTAAAACTCCGTAAAGCAACCTGTAGTAAGCCAGTCATAAAAACTGTCTTGAATGATATAAGGTAAGTTCAAGAAACCAGGAATTGAAGATATTTTCAACTACAGCAGTTTTGTATTAGGTACATTTTTCTAATTACATTTACGCATGTTTAACTCTAGTAATGTACAACTTACAATCCAGATAATCGATTATCTGTACACTAAATTTTAGTCCTGTTCAAAATTATACTGTTCATACTGCATATCAGGATATTTCCTAAGGGTATTAGTATTTCTCGCATTTCGTCTTTAACTTCTGTGTTTTTTTTCGTTTACGTTCCAGTGGAACGTAGGGCTTCAAGCTAGATGCTTGAAGTTTCAGTAGTAGTGGTGTTTATTTCTACGGGATGGCTCTGCTAGCCTCATCCTCGAGTTTTCCGCTTTATCAGTCTTATTACTAGCTTAGCGAGGTAAGGAAGTGTGTCGGCCGGTGACCGAACCCCGAACCACTTGAGAAGTGGTTGGAGAGCATTCTACCGCTGTGCCACCGACGCACTAGTGTCTGTTTAGTACAGTTTATTAGCTACTGAACTGGTGACTTTGATAGTGTTAGATAGTTTAACTTAGCTGATGTCATCATATTTGTCAATCAGGCTGAGTAATGATTATCTAATGAACACATACTGTAACTAAGTAGACGAAGTTAACGACTGCCTAAACAATACAAAGTTAATAAGATGGATGTTCGAGTTAGTCAAATGACTTTCACCTCCCCCATCCAATGTTTTGACTAAATTAACAGCATTTTGTTAGCGTTATTGATTGGTTTAAGTACTCTACAGACTCTCTAAAAGCGCATAATGACAGCTCATTCTCGATACATTAAGTTCCATTGATAAATTTCGATAAAGAAAGGAAGACGAAATTTGCAGTATAAAATGATATCATTCTATTTCACAGGTTCTCATCAGCTGCGTACCACTGCCTGAAATTACAATGGTTATATAGATGATAATAACATACTTTAATGTTTGAGTGGTAGTAGAGAAGACATACTATAAAATTGACGCATCCAAAATGAAAGCATTACAATTTTTAGTTTGAGATTTCATCATCAATTTAAACGCTTTTAAAGTAGAAAAGAGAGGTGAAGGGTAAGACAGAAAACAGAAAAAATTAACAAACATTGTTAGATTGTAGGTTCACATAACAACTCAAAAAACAAAAGCATTTACAGTTTATACGATTGAGATCTGTTCAGTGAATTGTGATCACTGAATTAGATGACTAATTAATGTAATCAAAATCAAAATTCTATTACAAATCAGTGTGATTAACCACTCACTCCCTTGGTAAATAAATTTTGATTTTGATTACGTTAATTAGTCATCTAATTCAGTGATCACCATTGACTAAGCAGATCTCAGTCTTATAAAATGTAAATGCTTTTGTTTTTTGAGTTGTTATGTGAACCTACAATCTAACAATGTTTGTTAATTTTTTCTGTTTTCTGTCTTACCCTTCACCTCTCTTTTCTACTTTAAAAGCGTTTAAATTGATGATGAAATCTCAAACTAAAAACTGTAATGCTTACATTTTGGATGCGTCAATTTCATAGTATCTCTTCTCTACTGCCACTCAAACATTAAAGTATGTTATTATCATCTATAAAACCATTGTAATTTCAGGCAGTGGTACGCAGTTGATGAGAACCTGAGAAATAGAATGATATCATTTTATACTGCAAATTTCGTCTTCCTTACTTTATCGAAACATCTCATTCTATTATTGGTTTGATTAATGCTAAACAGAGTTCCATTAGAAGTAGTTTTTAATTTATCTGTATGGAATTTAGATTTTGCATTTGTAGGGATTTTCTTTAAGTTCCAATGCAAATATTGTCATCACTTAAGGAACCAATGGAGATAGGAAACACTGAACATCTGTACTGTCGCCTGTTTGAGACTTTATAGTAGTGGGAACCAGTGATATCAACAGGCATCAAGTTCAGGACCCTTAGGTTGCAAGGAATGTCAGTAGACCACTCAGTCAGTGTGGGTTTGAATTTAATGGCCCATTAAATTCTAAATTCTGTCAACTTACAGTACGACACCAGCACTAATCATTGCCATCTTTAGTCATTCGCTTAACCCTGAATTGATAGTCAACACTGATCACATTTTATAACTGCTTTTTAGTTACAATGTTTACACACCCTCTCTTAGCTATCCACCAATTATTCTAGGAAATTTTAAGCAGCTAAAGTTATGACCACAAATAAAATAAAACTTATACATTCCTCTTCAGTCTCACAATATTTGAACGGTAGTGTCACACTCTGCTGAACTTATTGATTTGTATGTACGTGATTACATGTACACGAAGAGAAACCATTGACTTTTGTAGGCTATGAATGCAAAGAATGCACATCATTCAACAGTGATATGACAATGCCATATGTCAGGCGATCCACAAAGGAGAACTCAGCAAGGTGTTTGACGTGAATACAAGACTGCCTATTATCACTGATGATATTCGTAATTGTGGTGGAGTGGATTATGCGTCAGAGTGTAGGAAGCGAGGAAACAGGAATACGCTGGACAGACAAGAAGACTCTAGAAGAGGCGGATTTCTCGGTTGATTTATGTATACTGTAACATAAGTTCGAAGGCCTGCAGGCGAGAACCAATATGTTGTCAGAAGAAGCAGCAAAGACAGGACTTCCAGTGAATGCCGAGAAGACGGAGGTGCTGAAGATAACCAGCCAACGACGACAATAACAAGTACCAAACGCCATCCATAGAATAAACTTCAAGGAGGTTACTTCTTCACTTATCTAGGAAATATCGTTTCAACTGCAAGCGTCAACTCGGATGAGGATGTCAGAAGTAGAATCGGTAAAGCTAACCAGACCTTCATCATTCTGAAATCAGTGTGAAAATCTTCTGCATTGAGTACAAGGAACAAAATTTCGATTTTCGATACCAGTGTTAAGTCAGCCAATTCTTCTCTCTGCTTCAGAAAATTACTGCATCATGTAGAGCATTTCTAGCAGGCCTCAACAGCTGCCTTCGATAGATCCATACTGAAGATCAAATGACCAGAAAGATTCGGCAGCTAGAAACTATGCGGACAAACCAGCCAAGAAACTACCGCCGAAAAAATATGGTGGAGAAAATGTAGATGGATCAGGCAGACACTGAAGAAACCATCAGGGGACATAGTACATCAGGTCCTCGGGCGGAAGCCGAGTGGGACTTTGGTAGGAGGGTGGTATGGACGGGGTAGTGTGAGGGGGAGACTAGAGACTATGGGCAATCATGGGACAGGCTGAGGAGGACTGCGGAGTACAGGATAATAAAGTCGCTACAATAAAAATTAGATTAATTTACCTTCGCCTATGGCATGATATTTGGTCAATATGGCTCATGAAGTTTAATCTATTCAAATACATTTTGAGCACATACAGAAATTTGTTTAAGCATTTACAGTGACGTAGGCTGGAATATTCTTGTTTTTAAAGATTATTTATTCTACAACAAACACGTCTTAATAATGCTTACCTCGCGTTATCTTTTGTATTTATCTGTCAATTGACCTCCCAATAAACCGTCTGATTCTAACTGATTTCTTTTTTTATTATACTGTGATGACTTTCGTACAAGCGTAATGAACAAAAACACGAGCTATCAGACTGTTGCTGTGACACACTAGACACTATACTTTAATTTCATTTTCTATTCTATTGAGTGGTTAGAACTTTCACCATATATCAGAAATCAAGTTCTACCTGCTTTTAGTTAACTAAGGTCTAAACATGGAAAAGACATCTTCCATACTTATTCATAAATCGTTAGCAGATACCCGATATGACTGAAATACCCACTCATATGCACTTCGTTGACTTACTAACATACCATTAATCAGTGTACCAACCAACTGTTTGTTTCATACTGTAATCAGTCAGTGGTTGTGAGCTCCTGTATATCTGAGGGTGCTACTTATGAACCAATATTAACTAAGTCCGATGTCAGTAGGTGACAACCAGATAGCTACTCAGCCACAATTTCATTTTGAAAAGCCTTTTTTTCTTAAGGCTTCTTTGTCTTATATCCTGTGCTTACAGTGAAGAAAATGTAAACCTTTGGTCGTTTTCATCTTGCTTATACAACCCTTGCGCATAGCTTAAGAAGATCGATGCATAGAAAAGCTAACTGGGGTGGTCAACTAACAAGCTTTTATAGCTAGCGGAATTTAATTAAATCTCTTGCTACCCGTATCCAATGCATCTGTAGTCTTGATGTTCTAGAAACAGAATTCGAACTTTTAAGAGAAATCTTCATCCAAAATGGATACCCATCAAGATTCATCGACAAAAATCATCAAACCAATAATTTGGAGGAATGAAACTTCACTTGCGCCGACAAAAGAAACTCTACGTTAACTTGGATTTCAAGGGAGATTTAGCAAGCGATATTCTCAAGAGAAGGACCACATCATCTCTGAGAAGAACATTCCTTGCAACAACGCTACGAATAGTGTTCTCCAATCGCTAACTGATCTGCAGAAGCCTTGAGGACAAGATTCTGCATCTGACCACTTCTATGTGCATATATTAGTTCACCTGCTGCTATGAAGCCAGGTACATAGGTCGTTTGACGTTCATCTTGTCCAAGAGGATTCAAGAACACTACCCAGCATGGTTGCGAAAAGGCAATAGTGATGCTATAAGGATTGCGATAATTGAATACCTGGTTAACACTGATCATTCCATCTCAACAAATGCCTCCTTCAAAGTGATCTACAAAATCAAGAATAACCTACCAAAGGCAATACAGTTTCATCTTCTTTGTATGGCGATAGGCGAAGGTTGAAGTCTATTGTTTTTTGTACACACAGTTTAGACTGTATGTGATTAATCCAAAGTGCTTCCATCACCTTCAATAACCTTGAATTAGAGTTATGTGAAATAAATTGTGAAACAGTCATAATTAAGTGCTTTGCAATGGATGATGACGGATTTCTATTCAGATTCGCTGCATTGGGATTTTCTGTGTTTTAGTAACCACTTTGGAAGATGTTCTTTTCGACGACATATATATTTGCGACTGTACAGCTAAGGAAATGAATTCTCCGAAAAGAGACTCTTCGCTGAACTACGTGTTTTGTTCTCAATAATGCGTAGATGGAGATTATTCATGAACTGCATTTATGTGTCAGATAAGGTATAGAAAATACTATGATACTAAATAACTTTTTGTGGTCTTTTGACGATTAGTAGTCATTTATGTATTTGTTAAAAGTGTGTACCTATTTCAGAATCCCAAATAAATTAGATGATAAAATATATCACTTTTAAGTGTTTTATGGGTATATATTTTGCTAATATTTTAGTGGAATACTTCGACCTGGAATGAATGCGCTGATGGGACCAACCGGTGGTGGTAAATCCTCGTAAGTTTAAACGACTAATATTTTACAATGTTTCATTGCTGCTTGCCTTACAGCTCATGGTGGACTAAGTTTTCATCTATTCAGCAGTAAGACTACTTGGTAAATTTATGATCACCAGCAAATGAGTGAAAATTCTCGACGTAATTCTAAAGTAAAAATTGAACTGACGATAGATGATAAGGAACTGGGTGTGGGGAAAAATACTCTCCATCAATGACATTGGCTAGTGGTCGTGCTATGCAGAAGTTGGAATTCATGCACGGGTCCCAGTGGCTTAACGGTCTACCTTGTAACCATAAGGTCTTAAGTTCGAACCCTGGTGTTTGGTGCGTCCTGCTGAAGAGTTCCAAACTAGGACATAGGAAACAACTGTTCAGTACTCCCAGGATTTCCAATGGTTCTCTAACCGATTTCAGCTTATGATGAAATCCTGTAACCAATCACTCAAATCCCTACAAAGCAATACTTGAATATCAAATATATAAGATTACAAATAAAAAAGAATTTAGGCACAAATGTCCTAATGTTATAAAACGGCTTGTCAGCATGCTCAAAATTCTCGGCTTACAAAAATGTTCTTAGAACATTAAACTAATTGTGACATGCAGAAGTGTGGAAGATACATGGAAAGTGTCAATTTCAACTACCATGTTAGCTAGTGAAGTTATGCTAGTAACTGTCATTCTCTAACCACAGAAGAATGGATCACATGAAGTGCTTATGAAGCGTCATGAGATGGTGGGAGTGCTAAATTGTGCAAATTTCGTAATTCCTCACGAGACAGCTCAATATTCAGTTCTTCAGCACTTTCAGATTGAATCCCGTCGATACTTCATTGACAACTATATTCTAGGTGTACGTTCAAAATGGTTGTCTTGTTATTCAATGCTTTATTCATTACTTCTCTTGCGTTTAAATTAATTCACTTACAGTTTACCTGATTAAATTGTAATCTGTAACATTTTCAAGACTTTTAGATGTATTAGCTGGACGTAAAGACCCAAAATTTCTTACTGGAAGAGTTCTTATAGATGGCAGACCACAACCGAAGAATTTCAAGTGCATTTCAGGCTATGTTGTTCAGGTAAACATATTTAGCCACATGACTTTATAATTAAAAGAGTGAACATGCAATTGGTTAACGTGTAACAGTTGATTTCCCATTTCGCTCTTCATGGATCCAAATTTTATTCACTTCATTCGTAGTGATTCTTTAAACTTAAAGCTGTGTCGATAACCGTCGTCAGATAGGTCATGGATTGGTTCCCCTATTTGTATAAGATGTCCATCAATTTTCAAAAATGAAGGTGGTTTACTTCTTATGAATGCGTGATTTAGGTATTTTGTTAGTATAAATAGCTCATGTTAGGTCACATTACTTACTTTATGCATAGTATACAGCGTTACATGAGTAATATTACAGATGAAGTTTATTCTCCATGATTTATTATCTAGTCTTTGCAGACTAATCGATAAGTATATATATATATATTTAGATACTTAGAACCTTGGTTCTTACTAAAACCGTGGTAATTTTATGAATATTAAATAAATTATGAAATTAATTACTCCTCGTTAATGACCAAATATTGGGTGGGCTTCCTGGAGTTCTTTGGAAAATCCATGACTTGTAGAGTTCACCAAGTCGATTATGACGACGGATGTTCACCGATGGTATCGATGAAAGTATCAATGTATCTTGAAATGACAGAGGTTTAGATTGATAAACCATTGTATCCCCAACGGCTGAATAGTGAGGTTCCACTCTCGGAACCTGAAAGTTCTGAGTTCAGCCCCCAGTGAGGTTTGTGGAAGTCAGCTACTGGGACGTCTTAAACTAGGGTGGAACAACTGTCCATTGGTTACTAGTCTCCGTCCTCTGATTGATGGAATCCATCTTGGAAATAAGCATATGCATCAATTCTGAAAGCTGTATGAAAAATATGATCAGTAACTTAATGTCATATCTTTACTTACTGAAATTACCGTATCATTGTTTGCAGAAAGTCAAATACAACATTTTCAGTTATTGAATTGAATTTTTTGATTTTCCCGTCGATTGATTGGACCGAAGTGCTCGGTCTAGTGGATAACGCTTTGGCGTTTAAAACTATGGGTACTGGGTTCGAGCCTCGGTGGGAACATCATCACTCACTGAGAAATGCAGGTACATCCAACTGACGAGTCCCAAATAGGACGAAATGCGCATCCTGGATTCCACTGCTAGCCACCATCCACCAATTGTATATAACATTTTCAGATTGCAAATAACAAGGAGTTTGAGTGGTGGTTTAAAGTTATTTTATGCATACGCCAAATGACAAACAATCAATATTAGAGAAAATTATAAAACTGAATGACACACTTCATCAAACCACTCGGAACTTTGTCTCGAAAAATGAATCAAGATAAAAAGAAAATACAACCAGTAATTGAATGTATCACCTACAGTTATCCAGACAACAGATTTCCTTCAAATGTCAAATGACACTTTTATGCGGCCTACTGTAAAATTATTTTGTGTTGCTTTCTTCTTTATTACCTTCAGGATGATATTGTAATGGGAACTTTAACAGTGAGGGAGAATCTAAGCTTTTCAGCAGCATTACGTATGACAGTTCGTTGTACAACAGATGAAAGAAATCAAAAAGTCAACGAAATTATTGACGAATTAGGTTTGAACTCTGTTGCAGACAGCAAGGTAAGATATACTGGTGTTGATATATTTCTATAACAAAAGTTCAATAGTGTAGGCAAACATTCACTTTGATGATTACATAGGAGACTGAAGATATAGGAATCAGTCAGAACTGAGAAATAAGCAACATGAGTTGGGTAGATCCTAGTGATATATATTTTTATATTTAACAAAAAATCATAAGACTAATCAGATACTGATAAATTTGTCCTCGCAAAACGTATTACGTAATATAAGATGTAATCCAGAAGGGTGACTAATTGGAAGTTAGAAAAGAGGAAAAAGTTAGCATGAAGTAATAAGTGTGATAAAAATGACTAATCAATATGATTGTGTAGAGTGGACAAGAAGTAGTGGAAAGACGACAAAGTGTTTTCATAAAATCTGCATGAAAACGCAGTAATAGAGTAATAGTAAAATATGAATGGTGAGAATAATAATGATGATAAAATAACAATAATAATAGTTAACTTACATTATGAAAAAGCAAAATATAGGAAGAACACTACTGTCTCCACGGTAGGGCGAGTGAATGCAGAGGTCCGGTTTCATATTCCAAATAGCTAATGATGGATTCTGTGTAGCACTGTGAAGTCTTCATGCGGGGATGCTTCGTGTCCAGAGTTGGCAAGGTATTCGAGGATAGAGGTGCTACTATTCTTCTTTTCTCCTCTGGCTAACCAAGCTAGAAAATGTTCCAGAATACGTTTGTGGACTTGACATTGTTTACGGCCGATGTACTTTGCTTTACACGAGCAAGTAAACTGATAAATACACATTGAGGTGGCCAAAAGCCGTAACTTATCCTTAGCGTCAGATTGGATAAACTATTTGCTGGAGAGTGTGATACGTATGGTGGCTGTTTGAAATGTCTTCTTTAGGCATTTGAAAAGGCGGTTTCTAAGATTGGTACATTTATATACATTCCCAATGTTTCCAATAATTGCCAGTAATAAAGTGAAGACAATACTGGTATTAATCAACTTTAGTATATTTAGAGAAATCTGTAGGTTCAGCCATTCGACGATCATATTTATTGACGCAATTTTTATCAACTAAACTCTTCTGTGTTTTGAATAGATTACGACGACAATTTACAGTTATAGGGGAATGTTTATTTAGAATTTGGTATCTCTAGATAGCCAAATTATATACACCTTATCTGCAAGTCGTCATTTGCACAGATCCTCCATTTTGTGCCATTTCTGGCCTTCCCTCATATTGTGTTTTTTTGTGTTCCTTTCCCATCTCCTATGTATCTCCACAACTCTGCATCATTTGCTTTCTCTGACATCAAAAACACCTTGCTATTTGGATGTTTTTACGCAGATGAACGTCTCTTTATATATATACTACTGATAAATCTTATCAGTAGCACAAACACACATAGATTTGGTTTTAAACATTCAAGGACGACCACCTCAACAAAAGGTAGAAATATAGGTTTCTTATGCTCTCTGTAATAACACCATTTGATACCTGTGAGCCATTCACTCTCACGTTCTTGATTATGTTCAGAAATGCAGACAATGTTTGTATTCTAATCGATTGGAACAATGTTTGTAATCTAAAAAGTGATATGAAAAAGTGGGAAGAGAGACTTGCAACAGAATCTATATTCATTGAGGTCACACCGGATACATGTAACAAAGGTGACTGAGTACAACTGTCAACAACTTGGAATATAATTCTGAATACAAAAACATGAATGATGAAATCCTCCATGCAATCAAACAAAATCCCTACAAAACCAATACTTGAAAATTAATCTGATGTTCACTAGCGACTGGCCCTATTCAGGCAGTAACCTGGGGTTCTAGTTGGAAGCCGTGACCAGTAAGGTATAGCAGGTTGAAGATGAGGCAGTAACTCATCGAAGAAGACATTGCGAAATGGTCGTGCTATGTCGTGAATTGATAGAAGTTAGGATTCAAGGACCGTTGGATAGAGTCCCAGTGACTCAATAATCTTCGAGGTCGCCTTGTGACCAGAAGGTTGTGGGTTCGAACCCCAGTGGTGGGTGCGTACTGATGAAGAATCCCGAACTAGGACGAAACAACTATCCAGTACTCGCAGCTTTTCCGGTGGTTCTCTAATTGATGTCAGCTCATGATGAAATCCTCCATGCAATCAAAAAAGAACTATATATATGAGTAAAAATCATAAGTGTGTGAATTAAAAAACAAAACAATTCCAACAGTGGTGTGAACACTGGCAGTAATATTGCTCGAAATATTACTAATAACAAAAAGTTATCACTGTGTGTAAACCATTGAAATATAATTATACTTTATTTGATCTATTCCACAATACTCAAACTTTTTACTGACATTAATAACTATTTTCTTTGCTCTTCCAATATATGTACTCTGGCGTCTATACGTGCAAACACAACGTTATAGAGTTTTGTAACGTCATTTATTCTCCTGTTTCTTCTGTTTGGGTTAGAAAATTTTTCTGTTTTATCGGAACATCAGTCAATTGACGCCCTGTTTGCTGTTTCATGAAAAGATATTTTCTATGGTTATTCAACCTGTTCTTTTTCACATACTCTTTCTAGTTAAACTTTGGTTCCACTAAAAGTTTCGAATTCCATCTTTTTTCACGAATATTCGCCTAACTCCCCTACAAATGGTCGACCCTTCTAATTATTTAACAATTTAGACCATTCCACACTCGCGTTACTTAGAGATCTTGTCAACCACTGTTTGTCAATGAGATGAAAGAATGTTGAAATCTTTTATGTAATTAATATTTTTGTACTGTTCATGTTGTATTCAGTTGAGGAGAATCAGTGAAATAATAACGGTTGAGCTTATATTATCCTGGTACATTTTTCATTCTTGCTTTGTTCAAGTATAACTGAATAGATTTTTGATGGAAGTGGTTGTCAGTTGGTCATTTTTGTACATAGCCCTTGTTTTCCGTGTCAAACGTGAATCTTGTTAAGTGTAAGATGACAGTATAATGTCACTCTATCGTCTACCTATCTTTTGTATAGAAGAATTCTTAACTCTTTTTTAACGTCTTCAATCAATAATATTTATCATAATTTTTATTTATACAAAACAAGGTTGGCACCGAATTAGTTCGAGGAGTATCAGGCGGTGAGCGTAAACGAACTAGTATTGGTATGGAACTTATCACAGAACCGCCAGTGTTATTTTTAGATGAACCAACAACCGGTTTGGATGCATATATGGCAGGACAAGTCTTAAAAACTCTTAAAGCGTAAGAAAATCTAATTTGTATTTTTTTTTACAAAAAATTAAATTTAAAATCAAAAATTATTCTGTTCAGCTGGAATGTTTAACGGCTGATCTAAATATAACTTGTATCGAATCTCCGTAAGCAGATAGCGAAAATTCTCATAATGAAACTATGCATACATCATCACTTACCATTGTGCTTGCTTCCCTGTAAGGTTTGATCCTCTTTACGATATTCAAGCTGTTTCAAACTACATTTGTAGTCAACTATATCATTACCAGACGATAAAAATATGTGAGCACGCCTTTAAAAAGTAAATTTATGCAAGGAAAGGCTATTAGACCTCAGTGTCAGTCAGAATTCATAGTTGAAAACATTTATTTCCCGATACGAATTTAAAACAACCAATAAAGGTCAATGAAGCAGGATTTAATGAATTCATCAAATTTCGGTAGAACTCTTCAGCTGATTACTCTACATACACGGATATATATACTTTTTAAATTACATTGGGAGATATAAGACTGATAAGTAAACAAACTACATTGAATTAGTCATGCAGAAAGACATGTGCGAATGTTTTCCAGGTCATGTTCAAATAGATAAGGGGAGAGGGAGTATGAGAGATTAAAATTAAGATAAACTGCATTACGCTTCAATTACATCACTTAGATAAACAATTAGCCATTAGAGATTACATCAAGAATTGCAAACAGAGTAATATCACTAGTAATAGTTAGAACAATAATAACAATAATGATAATGTTGAAGCGAGTTAAGATAATGCTACTGTTAAAGGATAGTTTTAAATGAATTATTATTATCAACAGTAATGATAAGAGGTAGAATAATAAGTAAAACATATTACAATGGTAGATTGAGAGTGACGACCATCTCCTTTTGTGCACAGAGACCTGGTTTATAAACTCGAATTGTACAAGCCTCTACAATTGCAAGCATCTTCCTGTTTCTTTGTCCGCTGATTCTAATCATAACCATGGTCCCAACACTAGTCATAATCCCCACGAGCTATCAACCCATTATCCAAATAGTACTTAAAAATGAGTTCGGAATGAAATCAGCACCATAATTTTGTGCACAACTTTCATAGCGGTGCTATATTAATGGTAGGTCTCGTTATTCAATGGATCACACTCGTTCAAGGTCATTGGTGCATTCATACCCCCGAATTGCCATTCTTTAACTTGGCCATTTATAGGACTGGAAGTCAGAAATAAAGTAAAACGATTCAAAAAGCTATTTTCACAGAGGAGTGGATCAGAAATATAACTACTGACAGTAAAATTCAGTACTGCATACACCATAAAAATTACAACTGCCAAAAAAATCAATAACAGTTTTATGTTATTAGAAATCTCTACCTTTGATCTTATCATTTACATTGAATAAGATCGAATTGTGTAGTGGGTAAGTATTTGTTTAATATAAAACTGCGTTGATAGGTTGGCTGTAGTAGTCATTTGAATTTTGTGAATGTCTGTTGAGCCAAAAAGAAAGTAGAGGCTATTTCATTCAGTAGATCAGCGATAGGATGCCAAATGACCATGTTGTCTGGAAATCGATTCCCAGCCGGACCACATCTTAAACTCCCCTAGCCATTTGTAAGTCTGACAAAGATAGGGAAGGTTTGCTGAGAGGCCAGCAGCCCCACTCCGTAAAAATAAACACCACTGCTACTGAAACTTTGAAGCTCAAGCTTGAAGCCCTATGTTCCACTCGGAACGTAAAGGAATAAAGTACATCTGAGGAACACACCGAGGTCCTCATAAACATAAATCCTTGGTAAACTCAGTCAGGTAAAAGTAGAGTGGCGGAAATATACTCAGTTTTACACCAGTGAATGAAATAGTTCAAAAAGACTGTACAATATAACCTTCATGGAACATTTAGTAACACCGTTTTATGCACAGATCGATAGATAGGCTGATTAATTAATGTACAGGAACAGTCGAATCTATAAAAAACTAGGTTGTATGATAGTGGCATTAGTACACAAGCTAGATTTATCGGAAAATTGGCCAGAGTATCCCATTAATTCGAAAAAATCAAGTTTGCAGATCGAGGAGAAGTTGATTTATTTCGAACTTAACATAAATTACAAAACCTTATGTACCTTAATAACCGATTATTCGTCATATCATTCACATTTCCTCGTCATTAGTTCCGATGGTTTTATAAACTCCAGGTAGACACTCTACACCATTCTGATAAAGTGAAATAAACAGTCGGCGATGCTGTGGACTAATGTTATATCTCTATCTGACTACCCTCAGCTATTTTCTCCTAAAGTGATCATCTAAGTTAAACAGGAAGTAGGTATGTATAAAGCTGGTTTCACCTGTTGACTAACGCTTCTTTCCTAGACTCTTTATCCAACTTTTGTATTACTCATACTGTGGTCTAATCCAACTCTGGTAGTTCTTCGAAAGTGAAGATAGTTAACCTTCTACAGCATCTGTAGGTCTTGTACTGTTAATAGCCACGTTCCACTGCCGAACAATACGACTTAGTACACTAATGTGCAACACACTCAACTTTTAATATACAGTCAGATAACTCTTATGTGTCATAAGCTGGAAAAATTGAAAGAATTACAGGTAGCTATCAGTATTCATACTAAGTTTGTCAACCACCAAAATTACCGAGTGAAGTCAAAAATGAGGTCAATTACTTCATTCCCTGTCTATCAAATCGAAAGTAGCGGGTTTTTTTTAATTAGGAGACAGGAAATGCATCACAGACATCTTTAGCCATCTCCAAAGTTTCAGATATTGGGTTAGTGGAGACGTGATCGATTTCATAGTAGACCTCATTACTAAGAGGCATCATAACGTGAATTGACAGTAGTTAAGATGTATGTGGCATTGGACTCCACATTCAAAGTTTAAATTTAAATGTAATCCTTGTGTAACCTGAAGGTCATAGGTTAGACGCTCGGATTTACGCCACTTAAATGTAATCAAAGTTCAATAGTTCAATATACAGCTTTTATTATTAAAGTCGATTTACTTTAATTCTTGTCATTCCATATTCCCTAACAGTTTATCAAGACGTGGTAGAACCATCATATTCTCTATTCATCAACCCAAATATTCAATTTACAAGTTGTTCGATTCACTGACTTTGATTTATCGGGGCCAGCTAATCTATCATGGACCAGCTAAAAAAGAGCCTATCCGTTATTTTGGTCATTTGGGTAAGTGAACCAACCACTTTTCTATAGCGTATTACTTATATCAGTAAAACAAAATGTCACTGATTGGCTAAATACAGCCACCATGTAACAGCTGACTAATCAATAAATTAAGAACACAATATTCAGCGAAGAGACTCTTTTCAACGGCCAGTTATATTGGCCGTTGCTCTAGGAACTTGATTTTTCGTGCTCACTCGAGAACATCTCCCAGCATGGCTAAGTAAAGGTGTAGTGAAAACTATTAACAGCTCTATATTGGAACATCTGGTGCAAACCGGCCACAAAGCCAGCGTAGATGAATCCTTCTCTATATTATACCGGGTGCCAAATAAATCACCAAGAACATCGAAGCACCGCAGGCTCCAAACAGCAGAGGCTATTGCGATTCGCCTCAAACAACCAGCACTTTGTGTCCAAAAGAAGCAAGTCCAACCCTTACTATTGCCCTGGCCTTCAGTAGAAGCTATAAACTCATGAATTTGTACTATTATCTTTCCTAATGTTTCTGACATTCAGCTTATTCTATGTTGATGCGACTCAGGTGTAATTTATCAATATTATTGATTTGATGTTGTTTAAACATTAATGTCGTTTATAACACTAACTCATTCATTCACTATAATGTATGTATAAATGTAGAGCCTGATGATGAAGGGGTTATCGAAAAGAGTACTCTTTGTTCAGTATCCATTCTTTTCAACAAATTTATTATCAAGCTGTACAATAGTATATATATGGTTTTTAAGAAATTATATCCGGTGAGGGAATTAGGTCAAAGGTGTGGATACATGAAATAATAATAGTATGAAAGAAATTTAAAATATTTGTGATTATATTCATAGTTTAAGTCAAGTGGCATAATAATTAATGTCATATATAGAATAATACATAAGGTGTATATATTTTGGAGAGACGTATATAATTATAAGATTAATAGACGAATATAAAATGTTACATAACATGGTGTGAAATTCGATAAGATAGAATTCAATATTGTAAAAATAAAAATGTAAAAATTAATAATTTTGGGTTTAAAATGACAAGTGGGTCAAGTGGAAAAGATTCAGAGTGAGAATAGTAATAGTAATGATAATAATAATATTCGTAGTAATAAGGAAAAGGTCCAGAGAATAACTAAATAAACTTTCTATAGTTTTGGTTTGTAAGGATTAGTTATGTTTCACGAGTTGATCACGGATTGATATCAGTTAGAGAACCATTGAAAACCAGGGAGTACTGGACAGCTGCTGTTTCATCCTAGTTTTGGGAATCATCGGCAGTACGCACCCACTGGGTTTCGAACCCAGGACCTTCCGGTTACAAGGCAAGCTCGTATACCATTCAGCCACTGGGACCCGATTCAATGGCTCGTGAATTCTAACTTCTACCAATTCGTGATTTAGCGCGACCCCAACCATTGTCGTTGGTGGGACATCCATCCACACACGTGACATCTAATTGGACCTCACTGGTCACGACTTCTCACTAGAACTCAGGAAACTCCAACCTGTAGCAAGTCACTAGCGAGCATCAGATTAACTTTCTATAGTTTTGGTTTGTAAGGATTAGTTATGTTTCACGAGTTGATCACGGATTGATGTCAGTTAGAGAACCATTGAAAACCAGGGAGTACTGGACAGCTGCTGTTTCATCCTAGTTTTGGGAATCATCGGCAGTACGCACCCACTGGGTTTCGAACCCAGGACCTTCCGGTTACAAGGCAAGCTCGTATACCATTCAGCCACTGGGACCCGATTCAATGGCTCGTGAATTCTAACTTCTACCAATTCGTGATTTAGCGCGACCCCAACCATTGTCGTTGGTGGGACATCCATCCACACACGTGACATCTAATTGGACCTCACTGGTCACGACTTCTCACTAGAACTCAGGAAACTCCAACCTGTAGCAAGTCACTAGCGAGCATCAGATTAACTTTCTATAGTTTTGGTTTGTAAGGATTAGTTATGTTTCACGAGTTGATCACGGATTGATATCAGTTAGAGAACCATTGAAAACCAGGGAGTACTGGACAGCTGCTGTTTCATCCTAGTTTGGGAATCATCGGCAGTACGCACCCACTGGGTTTCGAACCCAGGACCTTCCGGTTACAAGGCAAGCTCGTATACCATTCAGCCACTGGGACCCGATTCAATGGCTCGTGAATTCTAACTTCTACCAATTCGTGATTTAGCGCGACCCCAACCATTGTCGTTGGTGGGACATCCATCCACACACGTGACATCTAATTGGACCTCACTGGTCACGACTTCTCACTAGAACTCAGGAAACTCCAACCTGTAGCAAGTCACTAGCGAGCATCAGATTAACTTTCTATAGTTTTGGTTTGTAAGGATTAGTTATGTTTCACGAGTTGATCACGGATTGATGTCAGTTAGAGAACCATTGAAAACCAGGGAGTACTGGACAGCTGCTGTTTCATCCTAGTTTTGGGAATCATCGGCAGTACGCACCCACTGGGTTTCGAACCCAGGACCTTCCGGTTACAAGGCAAGCTCGTATACCATTCAGCCACTGGGACCCGATTCAATGGCTCGTGAATTCTAACTTCTACCAATTCGTGATTTAGCGCGACCCCAACCATTGTCGTTGGTGGGACATCCATCCACACACGTGACATCTAATTGGACCTCACTGGTCACGACTTCTCACTAGAACTCAGGAAACTCCAACCTGTAGCAAGTCACTAGCGAGCATCAGATTAACTTTCTATAGTTTTGGTTTGTAAGGATTAGTTATGTTTCACGAGTTGATCACGGATTGATATCAGTTAGAGAACCATTGAAAACCAGGGAGTACTGGACAGCTGCTGTGAGGTCCAATTAGATGTCACGTGTGTGGATGGATGTCCCACCAACGACAATGGTTGGGGTCGCGCTAAATCACGAATTGGTAGAAGTTAGAATTCACGAGCCATTGAATCGGGTCCCAGTGGCTGAATGGTATACGAGCTTGCCTTGTAACCGGAAGGTCCTGGGTTCGAAACCCAGTGGGTGCGTACTGCCGATGATTCCCAAAACTAGGATGAAACAGCAGCTGTCCAGTACTCCCTGGTTTTCAATGGTTCTCTAACTGATATCAATCCGTGATCAACTCGTGAAACATAACTAATCCTTACAAACCAAAACTATAGAAAGTTAATCTGATGCTCGCTAGTGACTTGCTACAGGTTGGAGTTTCCTGAGTTCTAGTGAGAAGTCGTGACCAGTGAGGTCCAATTAGATGTCACGTGTGTGGATGGATGTCCCACCAACGACAATGGTTGGGGTCGCGCTAAATCACGAATTGGTAGAAGTTAGAATTCACGAGCCATTGAATCGGGTCCCAGTGGCTGAATGGTATACGAGCTTGCCTTGTAACCGGAAGGTCCTGGGTTCGAAACCCAGTGGGTGCGTACTGCCGATGATTCCCAAAACTAGGATGAAACAGCAGCTGTCCAGTACTCCCTGGTTTTCAATGGTTCTCTAACTGATATCAATCCGTGATCAACTCGTGAAACATAACTAATCCTTACAAACCAAAACTATAGAAAGTTAATCTGATGCTCGCTAGTGACTTGCTACAGGTTGGAGTTTCCTGAGTTCTAGTGAGAAGTCGTGACCAGTGAGGTCCAATTAGATGTCACGTGTGTGGATGGATGTCCCACCAACGACAATGGTTGGGGTCGCGCTAAATCACGAATTGGTAGAAGTTAGAATTCACGAGCCATTGAATCGGGTCCCAGTGGCTGAATGGTATACGAGCTTGCCTTGTAACCGGAAGGTCCTGGGTTCGAAACCCAGTGGGTGCGTACTGCCGATGATTCCCAAAACTAGGATGAAACAGCAGCTGTCCAGTACTCCCTGGTTTTCAATGGTTCTCTAACTGATATCAATCCGTGATCAACTCGTGAAACATAACTAATCCTTACAAACCAAAACTATAGAAAGTTAATCTGATGCTCGCTAGTGACTTGCTACAGGTTGGAGTTTCCTGAGTTCTAGTGAGAAGTCGTGACCAGTGAGGTCCAATTAGATGTCACGTGTGTGGATGGATGTCCCACCAACGACAATGGTTGGGGTCGCGCTAAATCACGAATTGGTAGAAGTTAGAATTCACGAGCCATTGAATCGGGTCCCAGTGGCTGAATGGTATACGAGCTTGCCTTGTAACCGGAAGGTCCTGGGTTCGAAACCCAGTGGGTGCGTACTGCCGATGATTCCCAAAACTAGGATGAAACAGCAGCTGTCCAGTACTCCCTGGTTTTCAATGGTTCTCTAACTGATATCAATCCGTGATCAACTCGTGAAACATAACTAATCCTTACAAACCAAAACTATAGAAAGTTAATCTGATGCTCGCTAGTGACTTGCTACAGGTTGGAGTTTCCTGAGTTCTAGTGAGAAGTCGTGACCAGTGAGGTCCAATTAGATGTCACGTGTGTGGATGGATGTCCCACCAACGACAATGGTTGGGGTCGCGCTAAATCACGAATTGGTAGAAGTTAGAATTCACGAGCCATTGAATCGGGTCCCAGTGGCTGAATGGTATACGAGCTTGCCTTGTAACCGGAAGGTCCTGGGTTCGAAACCCAGTGGGTGCGTACTGCCGATGATTCCCAAAACTAGGATGAAACAGCAGCTGTCCAGTACTCCCTGGTTTTCAATGGTTCTCTAACTGATATCAATCCGTGATCAACTCGTGAAACATAACTAATCCTTACAAACCAAAACTATAGAAAGTTAATCTGATGCTCGCTAGTGACTTGCTACAGGTTGGAGTTTCCTGAGTTCTAGTGAGAAGTCGTGACCAGTGAGGTCCAATTAGATGTCACGTGTGTGGATGGATGTCCCACCAACGACAATGGTTGGGGTCGCGCTAAATCACGAATTGGTAGAAGTTAGAATTCACGAGCCATTGAATCGGGTCCCAGTGGCTGAATGGTATACGAGCTTGCCTTGTAACCGGAAGGTCCTGGGTTCGAAACCCAGTGGGTGCGT